CCACCAGTAGTGATCTCTCTTTTACCTGGGGCATCTCCTGTCCGAGTCCGCCAATACCCCTTGAGCCTACAGGCCAGGTTAGGGATAAGTGTCCATGTACAGAGACTCAAAAAGGAAGACATCCTGGTAAACTTTAAGTCTGTTTAAAACACACCCCTGTTGCCAGTCCAAAAGCCCAGAACCACAGACTACAGACCAGTCCAGGATTTACGGAAAGTAAACCATAGAGTAAAAACTATCCACCCCACAGTGCCCAACCCGTATACACTTCTGAGTCCGCTGCCCCTGGACCGAGTCTTCTACACAGTCCTAGACTTAAAAGATGCTTTCTTCATGATCCCATTGGCTCCGGTAAGTCAATCCATTTTTGCTTTTAAATGGGTGGACTCCCAGACGGGAAAAAATGGCCAATTAACCTGGGCTAGATTACCTCAGTATAAAAACTCACCAACCCTGTTTGATGAGACACTGAGCAAAGACTTGCTAAATTTCCGGGGAGAACATCCCCAAGTAACTGTGTTACAATATGTTGATGAGACAGCAAAAAGTATGAAGGACCTAACAATTTTTCTTTTAACTTTAGATAATTAATTGCATACCCTAGTGGCCTGTACTACTATGAATAGGAGATGAATGAACTTAATGCATGTTTAGAGAAGGTGTCAGACTAAAGCAGATCCATCTACCATAAATGCTCCAAAAATGTATTGCTGGATGAAGTTGGATATAAGACCACAGTTGTGATTGTCCATAATTCAAGTGGAGATAGAAGAATTGTGGCAAGGCAGATGGGATGGCTGGAGTAAGGTTCAGTTCTTTTGAGAAGGCCTACTCTGAAGAGAGCCTCATTAAAGTGACCCTAATTAAAATCACATGAAATTTCTTTAAAATAAAATTTACTTAATTAAAAAAAATACGTTGATGACATACTGTTGGCCTCTAACACCTATGACTTGTGTAAAGAGGCAACTGAGGACCTGCTGTGAGAATTAGATAAAATGGGCTACAAAGTCTCTGCCAAAAAGGCTCAGCTTTGCTTATTTCAGATAACATATTTGGGCTTTAGACTGCAAGAAAGACAGTGAACTCTATCTAATAAACGGATTAAAGCTATTAAAAATCCCTATCCCTACCACCAAATGACAGGTAAAAAAATTTCTGGGGCTCCTTGGATATTGCAGGCTCTAGATCATAGAATTTGCTAAAATTGCCCAGCCTCTGTATGCCAGTACTGGTGGGGACACCAAAAGATAAACTCTCCAGTGGCCAAAAAAAAATGCTCTGGCAGATGCCACAGCCAAAAAAGTGGCACAAAAACCAGTGAGGTCACTTAAGGCACTCTTGCCTGTCCTGCCACCCAGAGTGCTAGATCAGCCCACTTACTCTGATGCAGATCTTTTGCTGGCTAAAAGCTTAAAAACCACTTCAACACAGGATGGCTGGCAAATGCTGCCGGACAGCAGGATTCTCCTTCCTGAGGCACTAGGCCGAGAGCTCATTCAACAGATACACAAAGGGACTCATTGGAGAAAAAATAAATTGGCTAAACTGTTACAAAAATCCTACTTCATACCCAAACTAAATCATACTCTAAAAAAAAAAAAAAAACATTTCAAAACTAGGGTTACAGACTAACAAAAACTGGGTGAGTCTCCTTCCTTTTGCTTTATTAGGAGCCCGCTATACTCCCTATATACACAGGATCACTCCCTTTAAATCTACATGTGGTTGGGCACCTCCCTTAATCCCCAAACTGGAAAAAAAATCCTGACATCCATTTCTAATCAAAAACTTGTTAAGTCCTTACAGGCTGTACAGTCTACTCTACAGGCTACACACTCCCTCTTCTGCCATCAACATTCAAGACCAAAACAACTTGACTGTCCACTGGCTACAAAACCTGGCTCTCTGGTGTAGATAAAAAGTGAGATCCATCCAAATTGAGACCTCGCTGGGTAAGACCTTATCCTGTCATCCTGAGCATGCCCACCTTGGTCAAGGTAGCTAAAAAGAGACACTAAATTTATCACACCCACATTAAGCCGGCTACGGTGGATGACAACTCAACAAGATGGTCAATCAAAAAGATGCCTGATCCGCTCAAGGTCAAGTTAGTATGCCAAGATACAGGCCTGGCTGAACTTTCTTTTCCATTCTTATTATACATTATATAATACCTAAATTTCATGTGCTGTCAGCCATACCCGCTGTGTCTATAATTAATTCCCATGATAACATATAGGTAAAGATGACAAAACACTCTTAATTTGTCAACTTTCTGCTTAAAACAAACCTTAAATCTTCAATATGTTCTGAGTTCATGTCTAAGACCAGAGTACAAGCCTGTAAAAGATATTAAAAATTTAACCTTTTTAAAATACATTTCTAAACCTGCTCCATATTATGACTTGGCTAATTGGGGATCTGTCTCACGTAATATACCACTACATTTTGTTACCCCAAAGACTATAGTTACTTTAAATAAAACTTGTGTACAATTTATAAACTATACTAAAAAAAGTTGTCACCAATTGTCAGGGTTTCTAAATTGTTCTAGTCTTATAAAATATCTATATATAAATGATAATATCTTATTACCCACTAGATGATTTTTCACATACAATAGACATACTTTTAACTATATCCCAGCTTATTTGGATGGCGTCTCCTGTTGTTTAAGCAGGCTGACTGCAATTCTTCCATCTCAAGATGATTTGATGCTACACCATTCAAAAACATCATCACCCCACACATACACAAAAAAGTTTCTAACATCGCTCTTCCTCCTGACTATAATGGCAAAGTCACTTTCCTGTCTGATAGAAAAACTTATGCTATGATACTCAGTGTTGTTAAAAACCTATACTTTGATAAAATAACAAAAAAAATATAAAACAATTGGGTTATAATGTGGCCAAAGCTCTTAATGCCACTTCAATGGCCATCGCCATACTCAATACAGAACAAAAAAAAAACCAGACAAGCTATATTAGCCAATTGGGCTGCCATAGATTATTTACCATTGTTTCACCATCAAAGATGTAAAAAAATAAAAAAACATGCTGTTTTAACCTATCAGATAACAGCCATCAGATACAAAATCAAGTAAACATACTAAAAGAGTTAACTCAAGATGTCCATCAAGATAATAATGGGGGTTATTTTCAATATCCCCCTAGATAAATAATCTGATAACTGTGCTTATTTGGCCCCTGATCATATTTCTTCTGGTCCTGCTCATGGTACCTCGTATAATAAACTGTTTGACTACGTATATACAACAAAAAATCCAGATGATAAAGTTAATGGTGTTGAGATCTAACAATGAGCCTCTCACACCCCTGGGCAACTCAAGTTATAAAGTTTAGATAAATCAAAGATTTAATTCCCAGACAAAAACCAGTGGGGAATGTAAAGTGTTAACAGAGTTTTGTACCTTAACTGTGAAAAATTGTAAAAACCCCATGTGCTTCCTGTTATCTACTCTAAGAAATATATTCTCCCTTTCGGCTCAAGCCTGTTCAACAATAACTGTTTCTTGTCAAGGCAGCAAGCTAACAAACTACCCCAACCATCTCCTGTAACATAGTCAGCTTAAGATGTATCTTATAAAAATATACACTTATCACTAAGCTGCAAAAGACCTTTTAGTTATAAACAGTTTGCGGCTGTGTCAAATGAATGTAGTTTCTGTTGTTCTGTGCTAGATAACAAATTTGCTTACCAAACTGGATGTGATTTCTGTTATAAATACCCCCCTGCTACCTACGTTCGGGGCCCATCAGCCTTCTCCTGTGAGAGAAGTGGCTGACAGACCTGAGCTCAGTAAATAAAAGGCTCTATTCAAATTTCTATCTGGCTGATCTGGTTCCTATGCAGAGTTGACCCATAACAGTCTGCTATGCAGTTCAGGCTGGCCTGGAGCCCACTTTGTAGCCCAGGCTGGCCTCGAAACCACAAGATCCTTCTACCTCAGCCTCCCCAGCGCTGGGATTACAAACTCTTGATTAATTTTTCCTCGTTCTTTGGCGTCGGCGCCTTTCAACTCACAAGACGCAGGACTTTTATTTATTTTTATTTATTTACCAAACCTGGGATTGAACTCGGGCCCTCGCGCTTATTCTACTGAGCCATCTGCCAGGCCCCATATTTCTATTTTTTTAAAAAATTTATTTATTTACGTGTGTGTGTGTGGCCAGCTCAGCTCACCAGGGGGCGGGGCTGGCTGGCATGTGGTGCCAGGGGATTGAACCGCTGTCCCTGTGCTTTGCTAAGCTTGTTCTAAGTAGGTGCTTTAGACCACTGAGCCATCTCACCAGACCCCATATTTCTATTTTAAAAGAAGCAATAATTTACTTCCTATAAAAATAAAGAGCCAAGCCCCGAGACGTAGCGCAGTGGTCCGGCGTGTGCCTGGAGCGCACGAGGCTGAGTTCGAACCCCGGGCCTGCCGGGCTCGCCGCAAGGGCGTGTGTAGACCCGCCCGCCAGCCAAACGACAGGAGGAAGTTATGACATGCGCTAAGGCGCACGCTCAGTACTACCTCAGCCCTTGAGACCCCACCTACTACGAATCCCGGGAGGAACTGCTTCCGGGACCGGAAGCCTTACGGGGACCGTTTCCGGGACGGACCGACGGACGGATAGTTCCGGGTGCAGAAACTGCTCTCCGCGGCGATCGGGAGCGAGGCGCCGGGGGCCGCGCGTAGGAGCCGCGTGAGTGGGCTGCTCTCTGGGGGCCGCCCGCGCCGCGCACTATCTGAAGGGTCCCGGCGCCAGTCACGCCAGTTCGCTTCCGCGCGCGGGAGGCCTGACCCCAGTCCGGTCCTAGTGCTGGCCCCTGCGCGGCTTGGCGCCCCTAGGGCTGCCGCCCCGCCCAGCCGAGGCTCCGCGCGCGGGTTCGAGGCCAGGCCCTGCGCGCGTCGTCGCCCACGCCGACTTCTTTCTCCTTGGCGGCCCCAAGGCTTCACCTCTGCGCTTGCACCAACGCAGCCACGTGTTTCCAACGTCCCTTTTAAAATGCCTCTCATTCTTCCAGATTCCTAGACAGGAACTGCCTTGCGGCGGAACAACGCCGACCAGGGAGCTGGAGTGCCTGTGTTCTAGTCCCGAGTGCCCTTAATTAGCGGTATGACACTGGCGGTTCCCTTCTCAACCTTTTGGATTAAGTTACTTTTTTTTTTTGGTAAAATAAGGGGCTTGGAGTATGTAACAATAAAGATTCGTTCCAGTGTTGGCTGGACGCTGTTGCTCCCAGGGTGTCTTTCACAGTTTTGCCTCACGTACGGATTTGTTTTTTGATCACTCTCCTGAGACCCCCGCCCCACCCCCACCCCATCAGGCCTTTGAAAAATCCGGCTGGAGGCGCGTTTTAACATTTCCAAAGGAGTCCTATGCTCCTTGAGCGTTGTTTTTTTTTTTTTTTTTTAAACCTTCTAGATAAGGGCACATACCTAAATAAGGCTTTTGACATGTGCAGTTCTTGAAGTTTTTTTTTTTTTTTTTTTTTAATTTTTCTGAGCAGAATGTATTTATTGGAGAAAGAAAACTCTTGTCCAAGGAAAGAGGGACAGAAGGGGGGCCCCGAGCGGGTGGTCCCTCTTAAAGTGTTTAATGTAGGATTTTTAGGGGTTTTATAGTATGGCAGATTCTTTGGTCTTTACTTGAATAAGGCTTTTTAGGTAAAGTGCTATGTTGAATACTCATACAGAACCTCAGACTTGTGTATAAACAAGATAGTGACGTCAGTATTTCTAACTTATAAACAATGAATCTTAAAAGCATATAAACTATCAATAAGAAACATAACTAAGTACATGCATCATTTCCTTTGTATAGTCTTATAGTAGGAAGGACAGGCATTAAACACTTAATTTCTTTTTACAGCCATCAGGAAAATGAGGCCCTTAGAAAAAAAGTGACTTGATGGTGTATCTCGCAGCAGGCGTTCACCCAAGGTTCTTTTGTTGCCAAGCCAGGTACTTTCTTCATGATGACCTTTCTAGTTAACATTTCTTTTCAAATAAACTATTCACTATATTAACTGTGAGGACCATAAAATACATTTTAAGATTGGTTGAGATATGACACCTATTTATTTTTTGAAGAGAGTACAAAATAATATTAAAACACAAAAATTACAAGTGATGTAGAATTTCACTTAACAAAATAATATGAATTTCACAGTATTTGTTACAGTGCGTAGTGTTGTTTTCCAACTAGTTGTTCATATTACCAGATACTAATTTTTAACTTAATGTCCAGTTACATAGCAAAGCTCACTTGACCAGAATCTTAATTTCTGTGGTCATAGCATGTGATTATGATTATTTCTGAATAATTTTAAAGAACATATGGCAGAAAATGTAAATATATAAGTAATATTTGTCATATATGTCTATACATTTTTTTTTTGTACCAAGGATCAAACTCAGGACCTTGCTCGGCAGGTGCTTAAGCTGCTGAGGTATATCCTCAGCCCTGTAAATACACTTGTATAAATATAAAATATAAGCAGATTGTAGGAAGTACTTGAGTACTGAAGGAGGGAAAGAACTGTACTACTAGTGAATTCTGTTGTAGTTTTTTTCAATAAACTCTTCTTTCATTCCCAGAACATTATTCAAAAGGCAAACCGATTACCTGTACCCACTCACTATAAGGCACCTTTTTTTTTTTGTTGCAGGGAATGAGGTAGATACAGGAAAAGTGTAAAGAGGTGAAAGGCAGTTCCAGACAGAGGAAGGCTATATGAAGTGAGATGACAGATGATTGGAGGTTGTAGATGGGTCAAAATAACAAACGCTTGGGAGGTGGCTGTGGAGAGACTGTAAAGGCAGAAGAGATGAAGTGAGTTGTTAGCAGAGGGCAGACAGTAATGAGTCCTGCTATAGCATGTTATTAAATATGTTAAACTGGGGTGATGGAGACACCTTGGAGGGTGTTTAGCAGAGAGGTGCTAAGTTCAAATTTGTATTTGTAATGCAACTTTGTATTTGTAAAAAATACACTAATTCTGACTTAGGAAGAAAAAGCCATGTATAAATTTTTTCATTGTATTTCAGTCGTATCTCAATCATAACGTAAATAATAGTAATACTTATTATCTAGAGAGTAAATGGTATGGAATCCCATTGCTCTGAGCAGGTTGTGGGCTCTTGAGGGCATGAACCCGGTAATACTCATTGTTCTGCTCTGGTGCCTGGCACACTACTTTGCATTTACTATAGTAAATATTCAGTTAATATTTGGTAATATTAAAATATTTTAATATTAAATATATAAGATATAGAGACTCTTAAAATGTTAAATATATTTAATATTAAAATATTCAGTTAATATTTTGGTAATATTTGACTGAAATATGGTCCAAACTATTATTAAAATCTTTTTTTCCACTAGGAGAAACATGAACCAGAAGCTGCTGAAGTTGGAGAACTTGCTACGATTTCACATGATTTACAGGCAACTACATAGCTTGGATCAGAGAAGAGTATTAGCACAGCGGAAGCACAGGTTTTCAGCTGCGTCCCCAGTATGGGCAGCTCAGCCCTATGCCTGGCCCTGGCAGACAGATGTGCTCCTTGGTGCTGCTTTATCTCAATATAGACTTCTAGTAACAAAGAAGGTAAATTTCTGTCACTTACTATGTTACTTGGTCTGATATGAAAGTGTTTAGAACCATAAATAGAAATCCATTTTGGGTATTTTGTCATTTATGAATCTTTATTACTTAATGTTATACTTGAAGCGATAGATCTTTGTGAGGAGGGGAAATTCTGGTTAACTTTAACTGTTTTTAATAATAGTTTTGGTAAATTTAATTAGTTGGAGATAACTTTAACACAGTGAATTAAGGATGCAGAAATTTTAATCTTGGCTTAAAGTTTAACTACTTAGGAGAGTATTTGTTGGTAGAAGTGACGTCTATGATTGTAACAGATGTTTCAGAAAAACTTTTAAGTTGTCCCTAAAATTTTCTCTTACTTCTTGTTTATATGTTTGTCTTACTGAGAAGACTTTTTTTTTTTTTTTTTTTGTGGTACTGGGGATTGAACTCAGGATGTTGTACTTGCCAGGCAGCCGCATATGCCCCTGAGCTATATCCCCAGCATATCTATCTTTTTAATAGGAGAAAAGACCATGGAAATCTCAGTTATCATCAACAAAATCTAAAAAAGAGGTAGAAGTATGGATTGGAATGACCGTTGAGGAGTTGGCCAGAGCAATGGAAAAAGACATAGGTGAGCAGAGAAGTTACCAAAAAAACTCCAAAAACAAAGACTCAAAAAAATCCCGATATTTAATTATATTATTTTTTATGAGGAGAATAACATTTTTTAAAGTCTCGTTTGTGGCATTATGTTTACTGTCCACCTAGGATTGTTGGAATAGTATTTCTGTTTTTATTACAAACTGACATTAAAATTCAGTGTATGAAAAGTAGTGTATTTCTATTGCAAAATAAAGTGAATAGACTCTTGAAAAAAAGAATAACACATTTTTTGTGTGGGGAAGGAGTACCAGAAATTGAATGCAGGACCTTGTGCTTGCCAAGCAGGCACTGCGCTGCTGAGCTGTATCACTGGCCAGTAATTCGTATTTGTAGAGCTATTTATTTATTATTTATTTATTTATTTATTTTGCGGTACCGGGGATTGAACTCAGGACCCTATGCTTGCCAGGCAAGCGCTTATTCTACTGAGCTATCTCCCCAGGTCCCTGTAGAGCTATTAATGTACTAACACTTGTATATACTTTCATAATTCTCAAAATGCCCTGAAATAGATATCCCTGCTTACAGGACAGGAAAGTTGAATAATTGCCTGTAATTTCACAGCAGATGTATAGTATGTGTGAGTATTTGGACCTGGAGAGCAGGCTTTTTTCTTCATTGGCCAAATTATTTCTCAAGAATTATTTTGTAGGGCCGGGAGATAGCTCAGTAGAATAAGTGCTTGCTTGGCAAGTGCAAGGGCCTGAGTTCAGTCCCCAGTTCCACCAAAAAAAAAGAAAAAAGAATTATTTTGTAAATTATAGCAGAGCCCAAATTTAATGTTTTTCTTGCCTGAAAATGTTACCACTTTTTATACATACGTATTCTTACATAGAACAGAAAATTAGCACACTATCTTGCATTTTCATGACTTTGCATTTGGATTATATAATCATTTTATAGCTGGAAGACATGACGGATAAGTCTACATCATTCAGAAGTTTTGAAAAACAACATTGATACAATTTTATAAATAACATGGATAAGAGACATGATTTTATAAGCTTTATTAGTGGATATTTTTAAACACTGATGACAAAAAACAATAATACATTTAGATGTATGCAAGTCAGTTACAGTTGTTAATCATTTTATACGTAAACACCTTAGTAATTTTCTTTTTATTTTATTTTATTTTATTTTTTTTGAGGAGCCAAGGATTGAACTCAAGCTCTTAAGCTTGCTAGGCAAGCACTTATTCAACTGAGCTATCTCCCCATCCCCTAGTAATTTTCTTTTTAAAATAAATCACACTGCACACAGGCATGCACACGCACACACACCACACAGGAACTCGGGAGTACTTCCTGGAGCCGGGCATGGTGGCATACACTTCTAATCACAGCCCTCAGGAGGCTGAGGCAATGGGATCACTGCATGTAGAGGCCAGCCTGAACGACACAGTGAGATCCTGTCTCAAAATAATAGTAATTTTTGATGGCACCAAATAGAGTAATGAAAATACAAACATAGTTCAATAGAATAGTGCCCTAAATCTGTTCATTATGATTTAAATAATATTCTTCTAAAGTTTATTTGAGATTCAAGGGCCAGGGATACAGATCAGTGGTGCAGTGCCTGCCTGGAAAGCGTGACGTTGTGAGTTAATTCCAGGTACTGAAAAGAGAAAAATTCAAAAACTTTTGAATTAAAGTTAGTTTTTATAAGATAATTACTTGTAATTTATGAATATACAGTTTTTCTCTTCCCCTGGGTCAGTTAAAATGATGTAATATTTTGGATGAAAGTGTGCTGTACCCACCAAGAAGCTGATTTCTGTGGGAATGGAAGATTGTTTATTTTTTTTTTTGTGGTGCTTTGGATCAAACCAGGGGCCTCCCACGTGCTAGCAAGCACTCTATCACTGAACCACACACCCTTAGACCCTTGGGCACTTTTCTACATGTAAATATTTAGTTTCATATAAAGATACTGTAATGCATTAATATCATATACATTTAATCTAAAAGGGAAAAGAGTACCCCTCTATATCAGCTACTTCAATAATTCAGATAACATTTTTGAAAATTGTAGTAACAGTTATTTGGGATTTTTAGCATAATTAAAAACAGCATTGTGTTCATAATTTTTGTATGTATGTGTTTATAATTTTTAAAAAAATTTTGTAGTTTTCTAGGTGTAATGATGTCAAAAATTTGACCTGTGGCATTCTTAAAATGTGTTTTCCAGGGAACAGATTTGGGAAATAAATAGGAAGTAGTTTCTTGCGCTACTGTTGCACAGAACATGTGGCTTTCTGGGGTTGGTTTGTATCACTTTACAATCTCAATAGCTGACATAAGCTAAACTCTTATGAATTGTGTTAGCAGATTGTTAATACAGCCATTTAAAAACTTAAATCCAAAAGGTAGTAAAAGCCAATTAAATTCTTTATTTTCTAGTCTTTTACTATTTCCTATTTTAATTACCTTTAGTTTATTCCTGCCTTTACTGAATGATAGAAATACTATATAATAGTGTACTACAGTGCATCTCTTTCATCTCTGAAGTCATTGACTTCATTTTGGTACCTTGAAATCAAACATAGTTGGAATATTTCCACCATAAAAATTGAGAAATACTATAGATCAGAAAAAAAGTTTATGGAGAGTCCTGTTATTAAAAGCTCAAAAATGAATTAGATGTTCAAAGTGTAAGGTTCGCTGGATGCCTTTCATTCTTATATTCTCTAAATTTATGTTTATAGGGTGACTGTAGTCTGGAAATATAAAATTACTTATATCATTATCATTACAGATATATTTATTAATTATCCATGGGGAAATATGACAGATTAGAAGAAAGCATATAAAATAAAATGAAAAAGAATAAGTAATTTCCTAAGTTTCTAAAGTATGGGTATGTGCATTCAAAGATACAGTGTGTGTGTGTATATGTGCGTGTGCACGCGTGTGTACATACATACAGGCAGTTCTCAGCCAGACATGGTGGCACACATCTTACCCTAACACTTAGGGAGGCTGAGGCAGGAAAGTCACAAGTTAGAACCCAGCCTAGGCAACTTAGCAAGACAAAGTCTCAAAATCAAAATTTAAAATAAAGTTTGAGTAAGGGCCAGCCAAATAGTTCAGTAGATTAAAGCACCTGCAAGCAGGCGCAGGGGCCAGGGGTTCCATCCCTAGGCCCCACCCCTGGGGCGTGCTAAGCCGGCATTTGAGACTGGTCAATTGAGATGGCATGGCAGTGCACGCTTGTAATCCCAGCTCTTGGGAGGCTGTAAACAGGCAGATCACTAAGAGTCCGATGTAGTAGTGATATCCTGAACACCCTGTAGGCCCTTCCCTAAAATACAAAAAAATAAAATAAGGCTTGGGAGTGTAGCTCAGTGTAAAGGCCCTGGATTTATTTTTATTTTTATTTTTAATTTTTTTTTTTTTGTGGAACCAGGAATTGAACTCAGACCTTGCACTTGCCAGGTAAGTGCTTATTCTACTGAGCCATCTCCCCAGCCCAAGGCCCTGGATTTAATCCCTAATAATACCAAAACAAACAAACAAAAAAATCCCAAAACAACAACAAACTTTATTTTTCATGGATTCTATATTTACAGATTTGTCTGCCCAGTAAAATGTGTATGTAGTTTAAAAATCATTGCTTGGATAACTTCATAGTTATTCTTAGATGCGTTCAGAGTGGTGAAAAATTGTAGTTGCTCCATGCATGTTTTCCTAGCTAAGGTGGAACAAGGTAATATTCTGCCTTCTTGATTAACCTCTCATGCTGAAAACAGGCAACATTTTTTTTTTCTCATTGTTTTTTGGTGGTGGTTTGTTTGTTTTGCTTTGGGCTTTTTGAGACAGGGTCTCACTGTGCAGTGCAGGCTGGTCTTAAACTTTCTGTGTAGCCCCAGGCTAGCCTCAAAACTTGCTGTGATATTTCTGCTTCAGCCTTCTGAGTGCTGGGATTATAGGCCATGTGCCACCATGCATGGCTCAAGCAAACCTTTAATGGTCTGTTGAACACCATGGTTTTTGAATTTTCATGCTTTTGTTTGTGATTTTGCTACTTAAATAGGCCCTAAGTAATAGTGTTGAAGTGCTGTCTCATGTTCTTAAGCAGAAGAGAGTTGTGGTCTGTTTTATAAGAAAGTAGGTAAGACCTACAAGGTGAGCTTTTCCAGGTGTAGTTATAGTGCTGTTGGCTTTGAGTTCCATATTGGTAAATCAGATTTTTGTTGTTGTTGTGTTTTGGTTTTCTTTTTTGTTTGTTTGTTTGCAGCACTGGGGATTGAGGCAGGGCCTTGACATTGAGCTACATTCCTAGATCTTTTAATTTTTGGGTTTGAGACACGGTCTCAGGTATGACCCCCCTGAGTTGAGTGGCCGAAGCTGGGCTCAAACTTGGTCTTTACCTCAGCCTCTCAGCGTGCTGGAATTACAGGTGCGTACCACCATACCTAACTTCAACAATATATATTTTTAAAATGTCTTTAGATAGAAACACATAAAACAGGAGTATATGCTGATCAGTTGACAAAATATGACTAGTGTCTAGAAGAAACTTAACCCTATATTTCCCTGGAGTAGTGGTTCAGATTATTATTAGTCATTATTTGTTGCAATGCTGTACAACGGAGCTATTCCAAATAGTAGGACTTGACTTTGTTAAATGGATACTCTGATCTGTCTGTATGATACATGAGTGATCACCTGTAGAGTCCAGAACACATGCATATACAGCTTCGTGTGTCGTTAATGGTTCAGTTGATTCAAAAGGTATATAAATGTTCAAATATTTTTTACATATGCAGAAATGTCAGTAATGTATCATTTTAAAAAATTAAAATTTCTCAGTTCCTTTGATTTGTTAACATTTAGAAATAGTTTATTTAAAATATAGCCCATTGGGGGTACTGTTTATATACTTTTGTTAATACAGGTCAGTTTTTTAGCGATTAATTCATGACCCTAAAATGTTTTGTTTCATTCCAACCAGATTGCGTGTATGAAGGTTTATTGAACACTGCTATTGACATAGATTCTCTAGAAGCAGACTCACATTTGGATGAAGTCTGGATCAAAGAAGTGATAAAAAAAGCAGGAATGAAGCTGAAGTGGAGCAAATTAAAACAAGACAAAGTCAGAGAAAACAAAGACGCTGTAAGAAGGTAAAGCATAACTGCATACTACAGAGAGGAGACCACAGAATTAAATCACACTTTTGTGTGTGTGTGTGTGTGTGTGTGTGTGTGTGTGTCTGGGATCAAACTCTAGACCCTGTGCTTTCCAGGTAGGCACTTGTGCCACTGAACTATCTTTTCAGCACTAAAGCATACTTCTTAGTGTGAGAACCTACCTTAAAATTTATTTTTTAATTAAAATGATTTGTGAGTATAGACTAAACTTTTCTTCAAAGTGAATATGCGGAAAATATGTTTAGGTTATTATAAAAGTCTAGGGCTATTTTTCATAAATGCTGAGTGTATATTTTAAATTTGGTTCAGTTTTTCCCATTGCTATGAAGATACAAACCTTAGACAGGGAGTCATTAAATCATCTCTTTTACTAGAAGTAGAGAAAGGGAAAGTAGTGATATGTAATCAGACTTGAATATCAGGTTTTATTGTTAATGGTAGTCACAGGAATAACTGCAAACCAATTCAACAGTTATAAAGTGTTTCTGATATTTAAGAAATGAAACTCCTTTGCTGTTAATTGTAGGCAACAGTCAGATCCAGCTTTATTAATCCCAAGGCCCCCAGTTGTTACTATAATGGGCCATGTTGATCATGGGAAAACGACATTACTTGACAAACTGCGAAAAACTCAAGTGGCGGCAATGGAAGCTGGAGGCATCACTCAGCACATTGGTGCCTTTCTTGGTATGAACATACATTACCTTACAATGTGCTTGGGACCCTTCACTTATTTTTTTTTTAAGTAAATGACATGATATGAAATATATAAATTCAATTTAAAAGGGAAGGCTAAAGCTTAAAGACATTGAATTGATAAAATACAGAGCAGTTGGTTAAAAGTCATTCTGTAGTTTCAATAAGAAAATCAGCCAGGCATCGTGGTACACACCCATAATTCCAGCACTTGGGAGACTGAGGCAGGAGAATTGCCAAAAGTTCAAGGCCAGTCTCTGCTACATAGCGAGTTCAAGGCCAGCCTGAACTGCATAGTGACACCCTGTCTGAAAAAAAAAAAAACATCGTGTCACTGCTTTTATTATTATTTTTAGTTTGGTTTAAGGAGCCTAAATTTTTCATCTAATTAAGGTCATACAACATCCAATGCCAGGCTGTGATATTGTTACTATTAATAAATAATAACTATCATTTACCAACCACTTAATATGTGCTCAGCACTGTGCTAAGCATCGTCTTCATTTTATCTTTACAATAACATCATGAGGTAGGTATTAATATTCCTACTTATAGATAAGAAGGCTAATTCAGGTTAAGTAACTTGCCTCAAGTATATAGTAAGTAGCTAGGATTTAAATCTGCAGTTGCTGAACTGATATGTTGAGCTACTAACTGTATACTAAATTGCTTTTCTGTGCTCAGGGCAGTTGCAGCTGTGGTTTGCTGATTGTAGGGATAGCTATCTATGTAGCTCTTGTTTCGATCTGTTATCTCTCCAGATTAAATATCAGTTGGTACATTTATGAAAGTAGCTGTATTCTAGTAATATGATGTTTTAGTTTGAAATTATTGCATAAAAAGAAAATCCTGAAGTTCTCACTGATATAAGTTTTCATTATAAATTTCAATTTGTGCTATTCTGATGAAGCTATTAGTAATAGTTAAAGAACGAGTGGATTTAATGATGTCATATATATTGCTTCATGTTAAAGAACTATACCTTTGGTGTTCTTGGATTTGTTTCCACAGTCTCTCTACCTTCTGGGGAAAAGATAACTTTTCTTGACACTCCAGGACATGCTGCCTTCTCCTCAATGAGAGCCAGAGGTGCTCGTGTCACTGACATTGTCGTGTTGGTTGTAGCTGCAGATGATGGAGTGATGAAACAAACTATAGAGTCTATTCAGCATGCCCGAGATGCTCAAGGTAGTGTGTGGCTGACTTGTATGTATCAGGGAAGAGGTTACTCTTAAATTTTGTTCTTTAAAAGACTTACTACATGAAGTTGTAGTTTTAGAGCCGCTCATTCAGTTTTCACAGCAGTCCCAAGACTGTTAAACCAGTTTTATGGATACTCTTCAAGGATAGTTAAATTGTTTTCCTGCAGACATGTAACTGAAAGGAGTATAGCACGATTCACCTTGGGACTTGTACTGACAAGTACAATCTTTCTTTACTGTGACATTAAAAAAAAAAATCTTGTATCATGAAAAATTTAGACAGATGAAAAATAATGAGCTACTTTCCCATTTCCTAAATTCATTTAGAATTGCATACTGTGATACTGTTATTACTTTACTATTATTCCTTGTTGTTTATCTGAAATCTTTCTCTAAACTGAAGCTTTTTCTGAAGCAGGATCTTGGCTATACAGTTCAAGCTGGCCTTGAGCTCACTGTGTAGTCCTGGCTGGCCCTGAACTCATAGCAATTGTCCTGCCTCCATGCCTAACTTAAAGAAAACCTTTTTTTCATCTGTTTTAAATAGTTACTTGGTCAAAAGTTGAAACTTGGAAAATCACTTAAGCATCTTCTTTATTATTTAAAAATGATAATAAATACCACACACACATACACACACTCCATATATTCTTATTTTGATATGTTACATCTGCTCCAAGCAAAGAAATGTACCTGATGGGGTATCATATCCCTCCCTGGCCCCCACCCCATTCTAAGACTGGCAAGAAAAAAAAAACCCCAAAAACAGGTTGACCATTACTTATCCATTTCTTTTGTGTTCCATCATGAAAACAGACCCAACCTTTAGCCCCCTGATTATATAATGTTACGTAGCTAATTTGTAACTTGTTTGAATTTGAGTCTGGATCTTCTAGCTTCCAGTGTTCTTTTCTTTTTTATTATTTATTTATTTTTACGAAGTTTATTGGTGTGATTTAATATATATGATGATAGAATTCATCATAGGGAATTTGTACCTATACATGATATATCCTGTTTCCTCTTTTCTTCCCAATCCCCTCCCATCCCTTCAAGCACTCTTCCCTTTCTCCTTTACAAAGCTTTGTTTCTATTTGACCCTTCTATGTTTCTTTTCTTCCTTTCCCCCACACCTCTCCCTCCTTTCCCTTTTTTTGAACCATTTCTTCCTATTTCACTTTGCCTGTTACACACTTTGGTCTTTATTTACTCTTTTGGTTTCTTATACTAAAGAAACAATGTGATATTTACACATGTGTGTTGGATTCATTTCACTTAAAGAGTATGATCTCATCTTTTTAAATTTTCAAACCTGCTTTTATGTGTGGTACTGTACTCTTGATGATTCTAGTACAAGGCAAAAAGAAGGGAGGGATCAGTTTTCTATGGATTCCATACCAAGCAACTAGTTAAGATAGGATAAATGCATTATATTGTGTGTTCTATATCTGTTCTTTGTTAGGTTCAAGATCATCAACATGAAATGCAGTTTTTTAAAATTATTTTTTTATTGAGAAATAAATATGAATGAGACAGTTTCACAGCTGATTAATAGGACAGTTTGATAGTCAATACACTGTACATTGTTATCTTCTTAGTGGTTATCCATAGTACAAGAAGCAGACAGGATATTCTGTCCAAACACTGTTTGTACACCTCTTTCTTCTCATTGAATTAAGCAAAAGTAGCTGTAAATTTGTCCTATTTTGTATATATAAGTACAAAATGATCTTTCCTTTGTATCCTTTTTTTTTTTTTGGTCCTGTCAGAGGTGAGTATTCTATTGGCATCTAAATACTATAAGTGTTTGAATTCAACTAAGCAATCTAACACTGTCTAGCAGTCTATAATATTAGTGGGTTATCTTCAGAAGTTATTGACTTGAGCCTTTTACAGGTCATCATATTAATATGGATTTACTTTATATACCTCATTTTTATACTTTTCTGCTGGATGGTTAAGACCAAGATATATCAAGACCTATATAACAAGAAATGTAACTTTTATATGATAAGGTCAGCCAAGTGTTCTCAGGATTTATCCTGTAGCCCTGTACCACCCTTTGTACATCCTTTTGTCAGTGTCTGACATGAGGATGAGTCACGGTGAAATGCAGTTTTTGACAGTAGTGGTTTGTAACTTGAAAATTTCTTTGTGTCTTGTACAATTTCTTTGATCCTGAGAAAATTGTAGAAATTGAAACTCAGAATTATCGTATAGAATTTTGTGATATCTCTGATGAGAGAATATGTTTAGTGATAACAAACGGATATAAGAGTTTTTGGTTCATTTAATAAGTATATATTTGTTTTTCTACTGTGTTGATCAGTGAGCTAGGCATGTGAATAGAGGTGCTATTAGTCTTAAAAGGGAAATGTAGTAGTAGAACAGCCCATTCCACTCCAGTCCTGCTGCCAGCAAATGATCTGGGAGTATTGAAATAGACTTTTAATTTCTTTTTCCTGGAGATAATCACCAGTATATTATCAGTCTCACTTTCAAGTTTAATGATAGGCCTCTCTACCCAGAATACTGTTTTTATGATCATGTCAGGTATCACTTATTCATCAGAATCTCCTTATAATTACAATGCTAACAGTTTGTGTCTGAGTTCCTAAGAGCAGAGTAAGGTGGTATGAATCTAAATAGTTTTTTTTTTTTTTTTGGCCTTCCGTTAAATAAATACATTCACTGAATAAAAGCCAGAGCAGGTTGGTATATGTCTTTATACCTAGAATCGAAGGTGTTCTCATTTGTGCTCTTAATTTTATCCTTTTCAGTACCTATTGTTCTTGCAATAAACAAGTGTGACAAAGCTAAGGCTGATCCTGAAAGAGTCAAAAAAGAGCTGCTGGCTTATGATGTGGTTTGTGAAGATTATGGAGGTGATGTTCAAGCAGTGCATGTTTCTGCACTTACGGTAAATAGGGGCATCTCAGGGACAAATGTGAATGCTTTTCTATATGCATACATTTTGAAATACATAATTGATGTTGTTGGGGAAAAAAATCCTTTGAGTACCGAACGAAGTGTGGTATTATTATTCTGATGTGGCTGGTTAGGAATTAGGCTCAGGGAGGTCAACTAACAGTTCAGAGTGATACATCTCATCTGTGGGAAGTTGATTCTAATCCTAAGGTTTTTTAAATTATGAGGTATGCAGAACCAAGGGAATAAATGGTAAACAATGTGGGAATGGGAATAACTTAGGCTGTTTGAAACCGAAATGAAACTCACTTGGACATAAAAAGTACTTTTATTTCCATGCCTTTAATTTTTCTAAATTTGTTACCTCTAGCATGCTTAGAAATTATACTTCTATTCATAGTAAAACTTTTCTTTTCCTCTGAAATTCATTAAATGGGATTTATTTCTGCAGTCTATCTGAATTGTAATTCCTCTGTGAAAGCCAGATGGCAAATTTACTGTAATACAATTAAAACACATTTTCTAGGATACCATTGGATGAGTTGATAGATGTAAAGCTGCGAAGGCATGCCAGAGATAATCCTCAAAAGGTAGAGAGAACTGGGAGAGGCTGACAGGAAGTAAGATGAGGTCTTCTTTTGAAGATACAAAAAAACTACTTCATGCAAAGAGAAAACTTCAGCTGTGCTTTCCATTTGTTTGTTTCTTGCTTTTTTTTGAGACAGTATTTTGCTATATTTCCAAGGCTGAGCTTGAATTTTTAATCCCCCCACCTCAGTCTTCCTGATAGCTGGATTACATGTATGTACCACTGTGTCAGCGCCATTTCTGCTTTTCTAAAATTTTATTTATTTATTTAATTTTATGTGTTTAGTAGAGGATCTACAGGGTCTTACTATGCAGATCAGACTTCTAGTGATCCTCCTGTTTTCAGCCTCCCTAGCGCTGGGATTATAGGCGCCTGCCACCATGCCCAGTCTCATTTGCTGTCTCAGCTTGTCCTTGGGGTGGGGCCACTGTGGCATGCCCTGGATCAAATCCTGGTCCCTGTGCTTGCCTAAGGGATTTTAGTCCTGAGTTACCTGGCTGGCCCTCCCATTTCTGATTTTTTGAGTAGCACTTTATAAAATTTAAATATTAGGAATAAGTAGGTGAGAGAGAAAAGTATTTAGTTTTTTTCTTTTTTTCTTTTGTATTTTAGGGAAGGGTCTACAGGGTGTTCAGGGTCTCACTACTAGATCAGACTCCTAGTAATCTGCCTGTTTACAGCCTCCCAAGAGCTGGGATTACAGGTGCATGCCACCACGCCTGTCTCAGTTGCATCTCCATGTCTTGGGGGTGGGGCTGGCATGGCAGGCTGAGGGATCAGATCCCCAGCTCCTGTGCCTGCTGAGCTATTTGGCTAGTTTTTTCTTTTTCATAGTTGTCTCTTATAACTATATGCAATCTCTTAGCTGCCACCAGGGGTGAAAAAATCTCTTGACCATCAGTTCTACTTCCATTAGCATTCATCAGGTGTGTGATTGTGGAGCTCTAGGAAGCTTAGTAAACATAAATCACTAAAGGTAAAAGAATAATGTAACCTAACCTCTTCATTTCATGGGCTTGTAATTGAGATTCACAGAACTGACGTGAGTTTACAAGGCTGCATAGGTGGGTGGTTACACAGCGTGGCTTAGAGCCTGAGTATTTTTGTTCTCATTTAATAATTCTAAGTAATGCTTGATACTTATTTTACAAGTTTTGTTTTATTCTTTCGAAACGGGGTCTCTCCTTGTAGTCCAGGCTCATCCTTAATTAGAAGTGATTCTCCTTCCTTAGCCTCCTGAGTGCTGGGATTACAGGCATGTGCTGCCATCACTGGCATTTATGAGATTCTTTTCTTCTTTTTTTTGATTTTAGGAACGGTCTACAGGGTGTTCAGGGTCTCACTACTAGATTGGATTTGTAGTGATCCACCTGTGCACAGCCTCCCAAGAGCTGGGATTATAGATGCATGCTACCATGCCCAGTCTTCATTGATGTCTCAGCACGCCCCAGGGGTGGGGCCGGCATGGCAGGCCTGAGGGTGGAACCCCTGGCTTCTGTGCCTGCTTGTAGGCGCTTTAATCTGCTGAGCTATTTGGCCCAGCCCTACAAGATTTTTTTTTTTTTTTTCAGAACTGGGGATTGAACTCAGGCCCTTGTGCTTGCCAGGCAAGCACTTATTCTACTGAGCCATCTTCCCGGTCCCTAAAACTTTTTTTTGGTGGAACTGGGGATTGAACTCAGGCCCTTGTGCTTGACAGGTAAGCACTTGTTCTACTGAGCCATCTCCCTGGTCCCCTCCACAAGATTGAGTAGATCAAATCAAATAACAATAGATACAAAGGCTTATTCAGTTGATAAAAGTTGAAATTTCAAGCTGCAACATTAGGAAAGTTAGAAGAAAACGCAATTGTAGTCACATGGAGGAGAAAAAGAATGAGTAAATTATGTGTTTGTGAAAGGACATAACAGATATCAGTGGCTAACATATTGAAAAACACACAGTTCCTTAAAAGATCTGTCCCTGGATTAGGATTTTTTCCTGATCCTTCTTTCTCCCTTTTTTGGTTGGTTTTTTTGAGATAGGATTTCACTATGTCGTTGAGGCTGGTCTTAAACTCACTATGTAGTGCAAGCTGGCCTCAAACTCAGAGCAGTCAGGGCTGGCAAGATAGCTCAGCAGACGAAGAGCCTGCTTAGGCACACACAGGAGTCAGGGTTTGATCCTCTGCACCACCTGCCATGCTGGCCCAGCCCCTGGGCTCACTGAGCCAGCCACCAAGACCCAGCGTCATCGCACATGCCTGTAGTCCCCGTGCTGGGGAGGCTGAAAATAGGAGGATCACTATGAGGAGGAGCTGCATAGTGAGACCCTGTGTACCTCAGTCTCTTGAGTGCTGGGATTAGAAGTGTGTGTGCAACCACTCCAATTTTCTTTTTTTTTGAAGTTTTTTCTTCTCTTTTCAATTGGGTAATTCATACTGTTAATGCTTAAAGAGAAAAATGTAACTGTCAGAGATTATTTGGCTTTCTGACTTTGGTATTTACATTTATAGATAATGTATATTAATTTTGCTATTAAAGGGTGAGAATCTGATGGCTTTGGCAGAAGCAACAACTGCTCTTGCAGAAATGTTAGAGTTGAAAGCAGATCCCAGTGGTCCAGTGGAAGGAACAGTAATAGAGTCTTTCACAGACAAAGGAAGAGGGTAGGACTCCACTGAAATTGCTCTTTTTAATAATTTTGTTCCATGATTTTTGGTAATTGTCTGTTATTAACATTTCATTACTATTGCATTTTTTTTGGCATGTATTTTATTGCATGTTGTTCATGAACAGTATTTTTAAAAGTTTTATTTTACTAGTACACAGAATACAAAAATGAGGTTTAGACTTTAGCTACAGTCTGTGTATGTCCTGTCATACTTAGATGGTGTAAGTAGTTTTTGTTTTTTTTTCACATTGACTTGACTAAATTGTTAAAACCTCATAGACTAACAGAAATTGGAATGAAATACTAATTGTTACATCTTAGGGTTTCTAAAATGTTTATGACACGACCCATTAATACAGTATTTCTTTTCTTGAATTTCCCTATCATTATCTTTTCAAGTATAAAATTTAGTGGTGGTAGGCAGTATATTCACACTGGTATACAAAAGGTCTCTAAAAATTTCTTCTTTTCACAGACCTAAATTGTATACTCATTAAAGACTCTAATTCCCACCATTCATCTGTTGGTGGACATTTAGGTTACTTTTACCTCAGCAGTTGTGTTTTGGTTTTGTTTGTGAGGCTGGGATCAAATTCAGACCCTCACTTATAGCCCTGTAAATATTTTGTAGTATCAAAAATAGAGGAATTGAGAAGAACATTAACTCTGTGGATGCCTATATATTTTTTAAACCTCATAATGATATTTTTTCTCTACTTACGAGAGAATAGTTACTGTACATCTTATTTGTAACATTAAGAATATATTTTTTTGAAGGGTAAAAATTTTGTTTGAGATATTATTTATCACACATTTTTCAGTGTCACCAAAGCAAAAATGTTGTCCTCCTCCATCCTAAAAATAAATAAGGGCAAACTTTTTTTTAAGTCATGACACTTAGAAGTTTAGCATCAGCATCCAAAATGAACAAAAAAGGAAAAAAGCATTTAGTATATAACAATTTCAGGTATCTTTAGTTGGGTTCTCCCCATGTAGTATTAATATTTCTTCTTTCAATTACCAAAATAGTAAAAACCAGGAAAAAAAAATAGAAACCTAGTGGTAGCTTCAACTGGGGAGGATACTCTCCTATCCTGTGCAGGCATTCCTAGGCTTGTGGCTAGCTGGAAATACTTGCTGACATCTTCTCTTGTAGTTGTTAAGTTTCTCAGAGAATAGTGGTAAACATTCTAATGTCAGAATCTTAGTCTTCCACTTTATTGCATAGATGTTTCTTTGGTGTTGGTAAGGTTGTGGATGTACTTTTTGTTTTATTTTTGAATGGTCATTAATTCTTTAGATTAAGAATAATATATTCTTTTAGTCCTGTTACAACAGCTATAATTCAAAGAGGAACGTTGAGAAAAGGCTCAATTCTGGTTGCTGGAAAGAGTTGGGCAAAAGTACGCTTAATGTTTGATGAAAACGGAAAAATAGTCAATGAGGCCTCTCCCAGCATGCCAGTGGGAATTATAGGCTGGAGAGACCTTCCTTCTGCAGGAGATGAAATTCTTGAAGTTGAATCTGAGGTACATACTTGATTTCTGTACATTAGAGATAATATAAATGATTCTAATATAATCTCCAGTGTTATATCAAATAAATGTTAATAAATAATTCTAGTTTATAAGAGGCCAAGAGGTGGTTAGTTGTACCATTGTAGAATTTGACTACAAAATGTTTTTAAAATTTGAGATAAAATTTTAAAGTTAAATCATTTCAATTATATACAAAGTTCCCAAATTAAGTTTAAGATTCTTTTTTTTTTTTGCAGAACCAGGGATTGAACTCAGGCCCTTGTGCTTGCCAGGGAAGTGCTTATTCCACTGAGCCATCTCCCTGGCCCCCCAAATTAAGATTCTTGAAACTTATAAATGTAGTGGTTTGTTACATGAATTAAACTTATTTCATAATGGAGAAAAACAAAAAGCCTTTAGTATAGTAGGTATTTTTGTCTATTTCATTAAATAATGACAGTTTCTCACCTATGAAGGCAAGAGCTCGAGAGGTCATTGATTGGAGGAAGTTTGAACGAGAACAGGAGAAAAATAAAGATGATCTGAAAATAATAGAACAAAAGCGAAAGGAACACCAAGAAGCGTATCAGAAAATCCGTGAAAAGTTTGGCACCTTGCTTTGGAAGGAGAGATCATTTATGAAGTACTTAGAAAGGAAAGAACAGAAATCCTTGAGGCTGAAAGAGAGAACAGAAAGAGATTCAAGTATACTTCCTGTAGTTATTAAAGGTATCTTTTGAATATATTTACAATTTTTTTTTCCTATTTTTCTGGTAGAATGCAGGGACTCATACATGCTAGGCACATGCTCTGCCACTGAGCCACATACCCATCTCTTTTTACATTTTTATTTTGAGTAGTCCTGCTAAATTGCCAAGGTTGGCTTTGAACTTCTAATTCTCCTGCCTTATCCTCTAGAGTAGCTGGGATTATGGACATTACTACCATGCCCAGCACAGCTCCCTTCTTGAATATATGTATTTATTCTCATAATTTTTGAGGGATATTTTCCAGAGTAAACATGTTTTTTTCCAATTTTGCATAAAAGTACATTTTTTTTCATTATACTTTGTATTTATAATACTAAGTCTAAATAAAAGTGGTTTTAGTGGTAAGTGACCTAAGTTTTTCTTGTTTTTAGGTAGTCTTGCTGAGCTCAATCTGGGCTGAAACTTGTGATCCTTCTACTTCAGCCTCCCAAGTGCTGGGATTATAGGCGACATAATCTGTTTTTGTTAATTGGTAACATTATATCTTTATTTTTTAGATCAAAAGTTCTTTTAAGCTTTAAGTGCCTATAAGGCAAGAGGGACTGCCTTAATGAATTCTTACAGTACACTGCTTATTTTAACTTTAAATACATCATTGTCATTTTTGTATTCGTCATTAATTTATCTCTATCAATTTTAAACTTTTGCTTTATTTAGGTGATGTTGATGGTTCTGTTGAGGCCATTTTAGACATAATGGATACCTATGATGCTTCCCATGAATGTGAATTAGAATTAGTACATTTTGGAGTAGGTGATATTAGCGAAAATGATGTTAACTTTGCTGAAGCATTTCATGGTAAGGATTCTGTTTCCTGTTTATTGAACTGTGTTCCCTAGACTGCATTGTGAACTTTACTTTTGTCTTCTGTTACTTCGTTTATCAGACCTAACATTCCCATCACAGTCCTCCTTCCTGCTGGCACTTGAGGTTGAGGAGGATGTGCAGCAATGCAGCCACATCTCCACTTGTCAGGAATCGCTGCAGGCTTGGGACACTGTTTCCGGATCCAGTAGTGTTTGATTGTCCGTCCCCCCCCCCCCCAAGCTTCATTAACAGTTTCCCAATTCACCATCCAGGCAAAGGTTGATTATTTTTGTATTTCACTAATTTAGACGTTGAGTGTACTGAACACTGTACTGAGTTTACTACTTTTCTTATCTTTAATTTTAGCTGTTTTTGTTAATTGGTAACATATCTTTATTTTTTAGATCGAAAGTTCTTTTAAGCTTTAAATGCCTATAATGCAGGAGGGACTGCCTTTATGAATTCTTATAGTATACAATAAAGGGACTTATGACTAAAGCACCAATACCGTTGAGTGATTCATGAAGCATTTAGAAAAGAGGTAGTTTATAAGCTGACTTGATTAGATTCAGGTATCACCTTTACTACTGAAAAGGTATTTCCAATAATGCTCTTCAATTCAGGGTATTTGTTAGATACTAACTAGCCTATCACTATGATGTGTAAGGTAGACAGTATTAAAGGATGTCACATGATGATGATTTTAAAGTGATCGTTTTTTTCTTAAATAAGCTGTATAGGCAGATTTCTTCTGCTCATTTTAAGGTAGGTGTATGTGTTTGTTCTTTGGTAAAATGCTTAGTTCCATCAAAGTTTTTTTGTCTTCTTTTGACAACTTTTGAACTTGGCCAAAATATCACTATTTCTAAGCATTTTATCACCATTTAGATGGTGAAGTACAGGCCACCAAATAGTAGGCAATAAAATAAAGTTGAATAGAATTGTTAATACAATTATTTCAGCCCTGCTTGTTTATTTTCTTTTATTAAAAATCAAATCTTTATTTAGTGTATTGTCTTATACTTTGTGGACACTTAAAATAGTTTCTTAAATTAATACATTTAAAATCCAAAGAAATTTTCCTTATTAAACAATGCAATTTATAAAATGCTTTCAGTACTTTGAAAATTTACCAGTTTGACTAGAAAAACAAAAAAAGAATGTCTCATCTCCCCAGGGACTGTTGATTAATTTGCACAGAAGAAAATAGAACAATTTTTTTGTTTGAAAGACAGATAGTTAAAATAGAATATATTTGTGCTACTTTATTGATATTTCTGCTTGCTAGGTATTATATATGGTTTTAATGTGAATGTAAGCAAGGCCATTCAGCAGTCAGCTGCAAAGAAAGGAGTAAAAATTAAACTTCACAAAATCATTTACCGTCTTATTGAAGATTTGCAAGAAGAACTGAGCAACAGAATTCCCTGCATTGTGGAAGAACAGCCAATAGGTAAGTATTCACTGAATGTTACTTTAAAACATCTTTGATTCTGTAAATAGCGCCTAAAAGTTAGGGGAAATATATTCACTGTTGCAGTTCTCTTGTATCCCAGGAAAAAAAATTAAAAAACTACCATGACAATGTTAATAACCTCATGTGTACTGTAAATACATGCCCCTATAACACCTTATGCTTTTTAAGCCAGGGACTATAAAGGCAAGCAGTAAGAACTTTCCTTCAAGCTTAGTGATGAACAACTAGTGGTAATACATCATGCACTTATGTTGATAGTAGCACAGTTTGTCATAACTATATCATGTAAACAACCCAGATGCCCATCAACTGAGGAATGGATAGATGTGGTATTTTTACACAGTGGAGTATTACTCAGCTATAAAAAAGATAAGCTCAAGGCTTTTATAGGTAAATGGATGCAAATAATGACCATATTTGTAAGTGAAATAAATCAGACTTGCATGTATAAACATATTATCCCCCTAGTGTAAGATACTAAAAGAGTAAATAAAATCCAAAACCATGAAAGGGAAAGAAACTGTTCAAAGGGAAGGAACAACTGTGATGAGGGGAAGGGGAAAAATATATGTATGTATATATACAAGAAAATGAAAAGATCTAATGATATAAAGAAGAAAAAAAAAGGTTTTGTGTAATGGAAGAAGCCATTCTGTGTTGTATGTTATGAGTTGGTGCCAAAAGAAACAAGACCTATGAATACAGCTTAGAGCCTAGACACACAGATACCTTTCACATTTATTGAGGGATAAGGGCAGGCTAAGGAATGTGTATAACTACTTTGCTGAACACAAACTATTCTATTGACCTGTGCATTTATTTAACACAAAGTTTACAGAATGCTAGCCATTAACATCCCAAGCAAGGGATAAAACAACAAACAGGGTGCCAGCCAGAGAAGCTGTTATCTGCAGCCTTGAATCCCAGCTTGTGCCAGAATTAACAAATGAGAGACAACAGTTCTCCTCTGGCTCAGTTTATTGCTTCCTGCTCCCTGGGGACATTAGGCTTTTTTTTTTTTTTTTGGCAGAACCAGGGATTGAACTCAGACCCTTGGGCTTGCCAGGGAAGTGTTTATTCTACTGGGCCATCTCCCTGGCCCCAACATTAGGCTTTTGTCTTATATCCATATTTCTATAATTGTATCCTAGAACTGGCACAGAAATATATCTTAAGAAAATTTATTTATATTTAAATTTTAAATAGTTTTGCTTACACTTAAGCCAGATTGAAGGATGAATTTAAAATTGAGACATTGTGTTTATTTACCTTTAAATATATACATTAGGCACAAGATGGTCCACAGAATGATAAAACAGTAATAATTATATAATAAGTATTAATGGTTCATCTATATTTAAACTTTATCTTTTGTCCCCACAATATACTTCTATCATTTTTCTCCTACTTTGGAACCATGGGTTATATTTGTCGTATCTTTTTAGCAGTGTTTAAACTTGAAATTTTTAAGTTTATATAACTTTGTAGAATGTACCTTAATTTTATCTGAAATTTCCTCATAATGGTATTTGGTTTTGCATTTTTGATCCTAATACAGATACAGTTTAGGATTCCATGATCATGAGGTTTTTTTTTTTTTTGTGGAACTGGAGAATGAGATTATTGTTTTTCTTTTTTATGTGAAGGTTTCTAGAGGTGAGTAAACACAGCAAATGCCATTAACCCTAGTCAACTAACACCTTAGAAAACTAATTGTAGTTCTTTGAATTTTAATTTCAGCTAGAGGGTTGATGAGATAGCTCAGTGGACTAAGTGCCTGCTTATTAGGCAAGTGCAGGGACCAGGGTTCAATCTCCAACATGTGCTGGCCCTGCCCCCTCCCTGCGCCAGGGAGGCTAACAGGAGGATCCTTAAGAGTCTGAGCTGCACAGTGAGACCCTGCACTGAGTACATTTAAAAAAAAAAAAAAATCAGCTACAGGAAATCTTTATAGTACTCTTTTAAGTGGATATAAATATAAAGACACTGAAGTCATTTAAAAAATCAGTTGGGGGCCAGTGACATAGCTCAGCAGCATGACAGTGCCTGATAACTACCTACTCTAGAAAATATTTTTTAAAAACTGAAAGCTAGGTTTTCATGGACAGGAATGCCAGTAATTTTTATCTGCTATTCCTCATTATTGGTGAGAAAAATACAGTTGGCTTTTTTCTATGCATGAGCTCATCCTTTACCCCCTTCCACACTGGGAAGACACGTAGGTCTTTGTGCTTGCGAGGCAAGTGCTACACCACCAAATTACATTTCCATCTTGAGTTCACCATAGAATTTCAGGAATTAATGTTATTTCTCAATTAAGTTTCTGGTAAATTAATGTTCTTTTCTTCCCGAAGGTGAAGCTTCTGTATTAGCTACTTTCTCTATAACTGAAGGGAAAACGAAAATTCCTGTAGCTGGCTGCAGAGTCCAAAAAGGACAGTTGGAAAAACAAAAAAAGTTTAAATTAATGCGTAATGGACATGTTATTTGGAAGGGTAAGCAACAACAAAATCTGTATTAAGTCTTCAAAATTTGATTATGTAGTTGTCTCAAATATGCACATCTTTCATTCTCAATCTGAGTTCAGGCAACATTTAACTGCTTTGTAGTTAAGACTTCTTGCTTTCACATGTGTAACTGGGTACTAAACCCAGAACCTTTATACTGAAGTACATCTCAGCCTTTTTAGACAGTCTCTTCTAAGTTAAATTGCTCAAGCAGAGCTCACACTTGTTATCCTCCAGCCTCAGTCTTCCCGACTCTTGATTACAGGTTCATACCATCATGCCTGGCTTCTAGTTCTGATCACTCCTCCAAGGACTGTTAACCTCCCAGTCTTGATTTGCCAAGTTTTGAAAAAAATGGGTCCCTCATGCCAGGCATGGTGGCACACACCTGTATCTCAGTACTCAGGAGGCCGAGGCAGCAGGATAGTTGAGACCAACAGGATATAAAGTGAGCTCAAGGCCAGCCTGAACTGCATAGATTATCTCCAAAAAGCCAAAATATATAATAAAAAGGGTCCCAAAATACCTTTCCAGTTTCATCTCCTGCATTCTTTCTGCAAAGTCTTCATCGGCCTTTAACTTATAGGAGTAGGGAAGGGGATCTTGGATTTCCTGTCTTCCTACATCAGCCTCCAGTAGGCCAGTCCAATTAAGTAAGTACTAATAGGCATGTGCCACCAAGCTAGGCTTACTTCATCTTTAAAAATGGGAGGTAATAGGATATTTTGCTACAAGTTTTTATCTTTACAAAAAAAAAACTGACTTTAGCTATTTAACATAACTAAAAATTTTAACATCAAACTATATGTAACATTTTTAGTAGGTGTTTACTTGAATATACTAACCTTCAGTTTTGCTTTAAAGGTTCATTAACTTCACTGAAACACCATAAAGATGATATTTCCATCATCAAAACTGGAATGGAATGTGGTCTCAGTTTAGATGAAGAAAATATAGAATTTAAAGTGGGAGATGAAATTATCTGTTATGAAGAAAAGGAAGTTCTAGTTAAGACTTCTTGGAATCCAGGATTTTAAAATGAATTAAAAATGTCAACTAAGTGATTGTGTTATATTATTTATATAACAGCTAGCTTCTGGTACAGTGCCTGCTTGGCAAGCAAGAGGCTGTTTCATTCCTACTACCACACACATCCAACCCCATCAAGGACTGCTTGAACCTGGTCTTTTTTGGTCACAATATTTTTCAGAAAACAAAATGGTTAACAATATTTCAAGGATTTATCATGCAGTTTTAACCCATGGCTTTGTTCCCTTAACCTGCAGATACCATGTAGATACTCAAGATACTGTTCTGAATGAATTGGCACTTTGAAATTGTGTATCAAGTATGATAGTGGAACTAAAGGGCTTTCACATACCTTTTACTTTCAGAAATATTGGACAGTCTTAATTCACCCAGGCTAGGCATTTGTGATACTTTTGCCTCAGATCCCCAGAAAGCTGGCTTACCAATGAGCAATGCCACACCAGATTTGCTAGAGCTTTTTTGATGCAAAGCCTTACTGGGATGGAGGTGGCTTTCTCTATTCGAGTAGGTGAGGCAAGAAGCCTGCTAGTCAATTTTTTTGATCACTAGGATAGAACCCACAAAGGAACTACCTAACCTGTATTATGTAGCACTGAGATCAAGAAACCGATTTCACTATTATGAAAAGATCAAGCTCTTCCCATGAAATGAAACACTCTTCAATATCTATAATCTGTGAACACAACACACTATACCCAGAAGCAAAATTTATGATGGCAGAAGCACATGGTGGGTAGTGTAAAAATGACCCATCAGTTTTTGATGCTTAAAACATTAACTTAGGCAATAAAATTCAACTGCTAAATGTTAGCTGAAGTTTTTTATTAACTCATAATTACTTGTCTTCTGGTTTGTTGAAGCAGTAAGTCAGACAACACTTGCCACAATAATGTCTGTCAAAGTGGCTGGCCATAAAAACTCCTGCACCACATTCATCTGAGGGGCACTCTCGACGAAGACGACTAATTTTGCCATTTTCATCCACCTGAAAAGTATACATCTGTGTCAGATAACATACACAAATTCTTAAGTATAACTTAAATAACTTAAATATCTTTTAAACACTGCTAGTGGGTTTTGTGTGTGTGTGTGTGTGTGTGTGAGGCCAGCTTGGCAGGCCCTGGATTAAACCCCGGGCCCCTGCTTGCAGGCACTTTAATCCAGTGAGCTATCTGGCTGGCCCATCAGTAACTTGTCTTTTTGAGACAGGATCTTGCTATGTCCTTCAAGCTGGCCTTGAGCTCACTTTGTAGCCCAGGCTGGCCTGGAACTCGCAATGATCCTCCTGCCTCACTCAGCCTTCTGAGTGCTGGGATTACAGGCATGCACCACCAAGGTCAGCTTCACCAAAAACTGTAACAGATGAGTTTTAAAACAAAACTTTGGGCTGGGGAGATGGCTGAGTGGCATAAGTGCTTCCCTGGCAAGTAAAAGGGCCTGAGTTCAATCCCTGGTTCCGTCAAAAAAAAACAAGACCAAAAAACCCCAAAACTTTGCCAACTGGTAGACGAAGCCCAAAGAATACTGATCTTGATGCAAACTCAGAATCCTACTTTGGAGCTAACAGGAAACTGAATCCCTAAACGGGAAAAAGAGTAGATAATGGTGGATTTTCAAGTGCTGTATTTTCCCTAAGAAAACAGTGAAAAATTACTGTTTCCATATAAACCATGTAAAACAGGCTCACCTTATAGTATTTTAGGACAGCCAACTTAACCTTCTTTCTCTTATGCTTATTCTTCTTGGGAGTGGTATAAGACTTCTTCTTCCTTTTCTTAGCACCACCACGGAGTCTCAACACAAGATGAAGAGTAGACTCCTATTCAAGATGGAAACAAATTTATGGTGCTTAATAGAGCAGTATCATGCGTCTTCTAGTTTCTGTGAAAAATAATGCTTCTCAAAAGTTTAGTGATCATCTAGGAATTTGCCAATCTAATGCTATTTTCCCCGTTTTTTGTATGCAGATTAGAAAATTTCTCAAGAATTTTTACGAGAATGCTTTCCCCTCAAACAAACCTTTTGAATGTTGTAATCAGACAAGGTACGTCCATCTTCCAGCTGCTTACCAGCAAAGATCAGCCTTTGCTGATCAGGAGGAATTCCTGATGAAAAAAAAAAAATTAAGTCACTGTTATATCCTGGAGCCCTTCATTAAATATGCAAATACGCCCAGCACCTTCAGGTAAACAAGTGTGTTTCTATAACCATTTTCCTGAAGAGCAAACACTTTTTGTTTGGAAACAATCTATGCAGGCTGGCCTCATCTCGCTGCAATCCTCCTCCCTCAGCCTCACTTCTGGGACTACAGGCCTAGTCCAACACGCCCAACTCAACCACAAAGTACTACTTGCCTTCCTTATCCTGGATCTTGGCCTTTACATTTTCTATAGTGTCCGAGGGTTCAACCTGTAAGATTTAAAACCGAAGTGTGTTTGTTAAACAGGATGGAACTAGAACACTCATTTAATGCAACACGTACAACAGAACCTAACTGAAGCCCACCCAGAAGAATTCACACTGAGGGGCAACCTGATCCCCCGCCCGGCCCCCTCCGGCCCGCGGCCCACGTGCTCGCGGCGCCCGGCCGGAGGCGCCAGCTCGCAGGTCCCTGGCGTTTCTCGGGCTGAACTACGCGGAAGGGGGCAGCTTCCAGATACCCAAATTCAGCCCTTAGCTCTTCACCAGCAAAACACCCTCAACACAAGGCTTGGCCTCAGAACTCAAACTCGGAAACGTGTTCTAAAGCTTGAAAAGCAGCGCTGGTCCCGAAATCCACCTCAGGACTTTAGTCGGGTCTGGGCTTCCTCACACGCCTGAGCCATACCTCGAGCGTGATGGTCTTCCCCGTAAGGGTTTTCACGAAAATCTGCATCTTGGCGGCGGCTCCACCTTAATTAGATTTTTTTAAAATGGTGGGTTAGAAGGATGGGTAGGGGAGAAGGCGATGCACAAGACACAGGCCGCACACTAGCCGCGGAGAAGACACTCACCACAGATGGCGGATCCGAAAGGAAGGGCGCCTCGCGGGCCCACAGACTATCCCAACCGAAGGTCCCACCCCTTAGGTGGCCACAGCAGATGCCTGGCTGCCGTCATGGAGGCTGTCTAACCCATTGCCAGATTAGGTTGTGAGCTTTTTTTTTTTAAAGTCTAGGCTAATTTCTCACTTTGGCCTTTAGAGTACTTTCAAAATAATACTTTAACAATTTCAAAATGTTTTAAAAAGAGTTTTTTAGAGGACGGGGGTGGCGGCGCACGCCTGGAATCCCAGCGCTGGTAGGCTGATAACAGGCGGATCACTACGAGTCCGAGCTGCGTAGTGAGACCCTGTACCAAACACATTAAAAAAAAGATTTTTCAAACAGCCGACGAGGCTAAAAGGGTCTTATAAGTGGAGTGAGAATGGGCAAAAAAGAAGGAAATGGAAGTGCATTTTGGGAGTTGTAGTTTTCCCGTGTTGTCTTCGCAAGAGGACTACTTATCCCAAGATGCCATTCGCCACCCCTAGATTCCACAGTTACTGTCTCCAAGCGCCGGAGTTCTGTTAGGAGAAAGGGATCCAGGTGAGACGGTGCAGAGGTCACGGTTTCAGCCAGGGTGGAAGTTATTAAAAGAAAGAGTTTAAGAGGCAGGAAAATGGTGTGGGACGTGGAAGTGTCGTTCATCCGTTTACAGAGCCTCGGGAGGCGGAGGATTATCGATCAGCTAGATGCGTTCTGGGCTTCTAAGAGAAAGCAGTGCCTCTGTGGCCTACTCCAGGAAAGCTGAAAGATAACAAAATATTAAAAGTGGGCCTTCAACCTTTTCTTTCCTTGCTGTAGCCCCCGCCTCGCTTCGAATTCCCAAGTTTTGTAGTGTGAGGAAAGTTTGGGTCGGGTATGTCACTCCTTATAGTGTGAAACAGTTCAATATAAAGACATTTTCAGGACTTTCCTAGGGTTTAAATGGAGTCATAAGGGAAAGAAACCTGTTCAGTGGTTACTTAGTTGTAGAATTTACAAATTTGGACATGGAAATGTTGATGAATCTAAAAGGATAGTTTTGGAGTATGTATAGCAACTTATACCCTTGCCCTCACCTTTCTTCAATCCACAAACTTCCTCCTGTACCCTCTTAAATGCCTTCTTTTTATCTCCATATACAAATTCATTGTTCCTTAATTTTGTCGTAGAGGGATCCAGCATCTGTTTGCTTTGCTGTTTTCCAGTCTTCCCCTTTTTCTAATCCACCTTCTCTGTTGCCTTCAATAATATTCATTCCCAAGAAAATGAATACTCACTTTCAAATACTTTAGGTTTAGCATACAATGCAAATTCCTTCGTATGACAGTCACCTTCTGCCGTCCTTACAACTTGATCTGCTAAACTGATAACTCACTCATTTTACATTTTAAAACATTAAGTATACTGTTTCTTGCCTTACTCTTGCATGCTTTAGCATTTCTGAATAACCCAGTCCTTTTCTTGTGCCTTTTTTTGTGCTGTCGTTTGCCAATTAGTCTCCACCTTTAAAACAAAATTTAAAAGTGTTAATGCCCATTGTCTCGAACTTACTCCTGTTGATTGAACTCACTTTCAGGTTTTTGTTCCTACTGTTGGAGTGGAATAGGTCTTGTAATGGTCATTAATGTCTTCCGTGTTGCAAAATTCAGTGGTCATTTCATCTTATTTGATGTAAACGGTCTTTTACACAGTTGATCAATACCTCCACCTTTGAGACATTTTCTTCAGGGCACTTCATTTACTTCTACCACTCTAGAAGCTATTTTTAGTCTCCTATTGCTTACTCTCTTGAATCACCAGAACTCTAAACTCAAGAGTGCTCAGTTCTATGATCTTTGCTTAGTCATATTTTCTAGGTTGTTATGCTGTAGTAACATTTAAATACCATTTATATGCAGATGACTCAAACTTACTTTTCAGACCACTTATATTGAACTTTATTTTCAATTTGGAAGCAGATACTTTATTAACTGACCAGATCATAAAAACACCATGGTAGATACCTTAGTTCATACTTCTTATAAGTCTTTGATCTGCTCTTCCCTATTTCTAGCATCTCCACGTTCCACAAAATGGGTGGCCTTTTTCTTCATTCCACCTCGAGGAGATGATAACTTGAATGGCCACAGGAAGTTATTTGCCTCTTTGAAGCATTTTCCAACAGTGTAGATCTCACGAACCAGATCCTCCATGCAGATGATTCCATATTTGCCAAGAGATCAAGCAATCAATGAATTATCTGTCAAGGCAATTCACTTCTTATTGATTTTGCCATAGCCACACTTGTATATTAGTTTGTTCACTGACTTCAGCTTTGGGTACCCCCATGCAATGTATGGCTGCACAATTCTCAGCATGTTAATTGAAGCCTTGCTGAGCTTAACAAAGATACCATTGGAAGATTTGGCGAAGGCAAAGAAGTGGCAACGTCTTGTGGACCTTGGGGCTGACACCATTGATCCCCCGGATCCAGATGACAAATGCTAGTTTGGGCTCTGCAGGGACATAGAAGTTGCCAGCTTTTCTCGCCATCCTAGCCAATCGGATCTCAGTTCTGTACATCTGTCTGTACTCCTTATGATAATGCCTGGCTTTTTCATAGATGAGCTTCCTCCTCGCCTTGCAAAACATCTTCTGGGCAAACTTCTTTCTCAGGCGCTTTATCTTCAGTTCTGCGAAATGTCTTCGCTTTTTTTTTTTTTACGGGTTTCTGGCACATCAGGAACCCCCTTTTTCTTCTCTTCTACACCCTCCATAGTTCTAGCCAGAAAAGAGCTATATTGAACTTCTTATTCGCGTATCCAGCTGTCTAGTCAACATCTGAGGATAAATTGCTCTTCCCATCTCCATAATAGAAATTTTAATTTTTTGACTTGAGAAGGCCAGAAACATTATGGACACCCTTATTGTTGTTTCATACCCTACATCTATCTAATTCCTAGGCAAATTTTGACTTTACTTTTGTAATATGTGCAAGAACACTTCTCCCTACCACTGTTAATACCTTGTTTCAAGCCACCATCTTTTGCATAGATTATCACTTCCTAACCATACTTCCAGCTTTGACCTTTGTTACATCTAATCTGTTTTCTACAGAGCAGTTGGATGATTCTTTAAAATGGAATGCAGCTGTCACTCTTCTGTGTCCCATCTCATGCATGCACTGGGACAAATGGAGGCCCCAGTCCAGCTCATTGCTCATCCTGCCTTTTTCTAGACTACGCAAAGATGCCCAATAGGCTGGAAGTATTTCCTATATGATGTGACAGCTGCCTCTCTGACTTTGCTTCCCCTCTGATTCTCTTCTAGCCGTACAGGCCTTGCTGTGCTCTCACACACTGTCCCATCTGTGGCCTTTGGACTTGCTGTTCTCTTTGCTTCAACAGCTTCTTCCAGAAATCTACATAATCTGCCTTTTTCAGGTTTGTGAAATAGTTGCCTTGCCAGTGAGTGCTTTTGTCTTTCTTGCCTGTATAAAATAACATGCTCCTAATTTCCTCACTCTCTCCCTCTTACCTTGTCTATTGTTTTCCATTAAACTTCCCCCATCTGTCTCACGTTTTTCACTTATGTGTTGTCCATCTCTACTTGAATGTAACCTTTATGAGGGTTTATTCAATGCTATTTCTCTATTGTCTAGAATAGTGGCACCCAGCCCTCAAAATATTTATTGAATAAGTAAATGTAACAATTTAAGAATTATCCTAAATATTTTACCAGGTCAATTATGGTGACCCTTCTAGAATTTCAGTGGTACACACAACCCACTGCAGCAGAGGTGCCATACATTTGCCATCACTGCGCTAGTTGTTTCCTCTAACATTTCCACCTCCTCTTGCAGGTTAGTGAGATGCCCCTCTGGGCTTTGGTGCGACTGCTGTTGTTTCTTCTGTGCCCTGTAGCAACAGCTCATATATTAGATTTAGTAGGTTTGACTGGGATCCCAAGTGGCTTGTTTTTAGTGTATCCCCAAGTGTCTAATAGGAATGAATGAGTAAATGTCAAAGTTATTTGGTATAAGATGCTAAGGAACAACTGCTTTATGTTCTGGCTTGGAAGGGCCATAAATCACAATTTCTTCTGATCAAATAAGATTATTGTTTAGTAATATGGCAAATATTTGAGACCTAGTGCTAGAAATTATTGGAATGCATATGGGTGGGGGTGGGATAATGGGAAATAAAAACAGTTTAGTTCCTGATGTTTACAAACTTAGAGTCTCATGTGAGATACAGAGAATGTAAACAAGGAGTCCATAATACAGTATGATTGAGTGATAGTACCATGGTAGGGGAAGTGTGTGACACTGTAGGAGAGAACATGGCAATGACGTTTCACCAAGTATAAGGGAATCCAGGGCAACCTTCCTGAAACTGTGAGAGCAGAGACTGAAGAATGAGTAAAAGCCAAGTGAAAGAGAGTGCTAGCGTGTATTTGGGGTAGGGTGGGCGGTGCAGAGGGACAGAGGTAAGTGTAATGTGCTGTGAGGGTGAATTATATAAGACCCTAGGTAAAAGCAGGCACAAAGAGGTGTGGAGCTGAGGGCTGTGGCATGATGGACAAGGACATGAAAAACGAGTAGAGAGCATTACTAGATGCAGCAGGAGCTTGGGTTTTATCGTAGGGGTCGAGGAGAGCCACTAGTACTCAGATATGACTACCTGCTCTCCATTGATCACACCCATTCCTTCCTCATTTGAATCTTACCTTGTACTATGCAAAATTGTATTATTTGTAGTCTCCTTTTCTTGCTATGTTGTGAGCTTCAAGGAGCCAGGATTTTGTCTTATTTATTTGGTAAATAGAATAACTTTATGTTCATTTGTAAATTGCCTATTTCTTACACAGTGTATCAGCAGAAAGATAAATTTAGTGAAGCCAGGCCTGATGGCACATACCTGTAATCCCAGCACTTAGGGGGCGGAGACAGCAAGTTTGAGGCCAGTCTGGGATGTATAGCGAGCCCCTGGCTTAAACAAAATGCACTTAGTCTTTTTAAAAAAAGTTTTTATCTTTATTAGTACATTTTTGCAATACACAACAAATACATTCCTTGTGAGGAGTTGCTACATGTGTATAACATACCTTCATTCTTTTTTATATCACTCTCCTTTTCCCTGCTCCATCTCTTAGTGCCCTTCAGTTTTGACAATGATCTGTCTCCTTATTACCTATTATCTCTTCTTTTGCACTTTTAAAAGATATTTTGAGCTTATAGAAGAGCAGCCATGCAATATTTAAACTTAAATGTCTGATTTCATCATGATCTTAGGTGCATCTATTTTCCTGTAAGAGACTCAAGTTTAGCTTTATGGAAGAGTAGTACTCCATCCTGTATAAATACCACATTTTTTTTATCTAGTCATGTATTGATGAACATATAGGCCAAGATTTGGTTATTGTTGGTTGTACTGCTACTAGCATGGATGTGTCTGTATCATTGTAATATGATGTCTTTAACTCTTTTGGGAGGATACCTAGAAGGGAAAGAGGTGGGTCAAATGGAATTTCTATTATTTTTCTTTTTTTTTTAATTTTTTTAATTTATTTATGTGTGTGTG